CCCCAATACAGTCAAACATATTTTTTTTATTTTGTAGATTGTCGGGAACAAAAAACAGTAAAAAATAAATCAGCATTAAATAATAAAAAAATATTAATAACAAATACTTAATTGAGTTTTATGTACAATATACATGAGATTATAATCAATTGGGGGAAAAAATCAAGGGATATGAGGGGGGAGAGTCTGGACCTGTGGATCCCGACTTCCTTGTGTGCGCCACTGACATTGACATCCTGGAAAAGTCTGCCCACCCCAGCTCTTAAGTGTCAGATGGTTTTGAGTTTTTAAATCATTTAAGAAGTTTTTATTGGTTGTTCAGAACTTCTGTTCGTAAAAAATTAAATAAAAGGAGCAAACCACTTTCCAGATTTAACACGAAAGAAGTACTTTGCATTCTTTTAACACACACATTCAGATACCAAATTCGTTGAAGGATAAAGTTATTTTTAAGCCACGTTTTGTCCATCATCTTAAAAAATTGAATTTCAGCCAATCTGAAGTTTCGTTCCACTCAGGCATAGCTAAATTTTTGCATATTCAAGAGATTTGTGAAAGTGATAAATTTCTATTGCTCTTGTTCCGACATGGAGTCTAGATCTTGATGGTCTTTTCTGGTGTAGGTGAAATATTTCTATATGAATCCTGTCCATTGCTCTCTAATCATACTACTTCATCTCCGTGGTTATGGAACTGAATATTCATTGTACCATCAAGTTTAAATGGAATAGTTCCTTTTTAGAAAGAAAATTATAAGGCTTAAGCTACACTAACTTCTGGTTATTACGTACGCTTAGAAAAGTTAAATCTAATCTCAATGCATCATCTATGGCTATTTCATTTGACTCAACCCAGTGAGCCAAAGTATTACTTACACATACGCTTTTTTTAAGATTTTCAAGCTTTTCTTGAAGCTCTATTGATGGATATCAACAAAAATTATTCTAAAACTAAACTCACTTTGCGTTGAATATGCACAGGAAAGATCTTTTATACGTTTAGTGTACTAATATAACTTATTCACTTCCGTTCTTTACTTTCAGGAAACTGAAAACGACAAAGACAATAGTTGCAGAATATTTTTCTTTGTCTCTTTTAGATACTTGAGATTAATCAAGCATGCAAATGGAATAAATTAATAGTTTTAGGCACAGAGAAATAAAAACAGTCCAATTCACATTTATATCTGATTTGGATACCCAGAATCCTGCCTTTTTAAAACTATTATACATATCTTACTTTAGAATGTTTATAATTATTTTAAATGACAGATGGAAAAGGAGATTAACAAGCAAAATTGAAAATAAATTGTTAAAATATATGTTTCATATTATAAAAAATATATATATTTAGTTCTATTTAAATTTCTTTTCTTTATTTTGAGCAATTTGTTAATTGACTATTTAAATTATACAGTAGTTATAGAAATGGGGTTGTGAAAATTCTCTTCCATATTAGTATATCGTCTACGTTAATTCGATAATTCATGTAACTCTAATTTATCTGATTATTTAATTTACTTGCGGAGATATTATCGTCTGCTGTTAAAGTTATGCTTCTTAAGTTGGCATCTTTTGTAATTATTCTAAATATGTTTTTTCATTCGAAGAAAAAAATTGCAATACGTAATCGGCTCTGGTTAAATTTAATACGCATTTAATTTTTTAATACTTTCAAGATATCATTCATCTGGAGATCATTTTAATCATTTGTGTGATAAAACAATAAAAGAGGTCCGACGAATAAATTTTGGCTATTCACAGTAAATTCCAAGTTTGAATTCTCTGTCTAATTATTACAAGTAACGTATGCTTTCAATCATATCATGTATAACTCAATATCGGGATGAAAGCCGCATATTTCTGATGAATTATTTTAAAAATGTTTTCTTTATATGTTTTTCTCAGAATTTTTTTATAAAGAAAAACAAGGGGAATAAATTGTATTATATGCGTTTAGTTCACATTACGAGATGTTTCATTTTTTAATTTGGGAAATCAGTTGCCTTCTTAAAATTTAATGATTTTAATGTAATTTATAACCGGTGAAAAATATTTTTATTACAACGGTCTGATCAATTTTATTTGAAACGTGAAGATATCTTTGTTTCAAAAATCGATATTTTTATCCATTGTGTGAAGCCTTATTACACATAAGGAATTACATTTTTATTTCTTGTTATTTTAGCTTATTCTTTTAAATATAATCCCATTTTTTTTTTAAAAAAAAACCTCAAATTTTTTTTTTGCCTAAATAATTGTTTTATTTCACCCCTCTCCTTCTAAAGTTTTATTCTCTTATTCTAGAACCAAGCAATTAATCAGATGATACAGAAGGGAATTTTAAAAATAAATATCAAGGAAACAATCTTAAATTACAATAGTAGGGTTTATTTACATTAAAATTTAGTGTTATTTAGAAATAATAATGAAAAACAAAACAAAGGGGTCGTATTGTGTCATGTCTTTTTCGTTGCTGGATTTATTTACCTCTGCTTCCTGTTTAAAATTTTATTGTTTTTCCTGTAATGCATTCAAGCTACTTATTTGTTTATACTCAGTTATAAAAGACGGAGAAAAAAAACGCATTCCATAGTCCAGAAACCGAGATTCTTCATAAATTTCCGAAAAGACTATACTAGTCGTGCCATCTAGCGGCTTTCACAAAGAATGATGATTACGTATAACTGGAATTATTTCTCAATTTTCGTTGCATTCTACGTACATTTCGGCTTTTAAAAAAAACCTACTGAAATTGCATTTTTTTAAACAAAAAAAATTTATTTAATGTGATTAAATATATAACTGAAAAGCATTTTTTGATCTGAAAAGTTATTTAAAAAATGAACGAATTAAGACAAAAAAAAGACATTGAGAACTGCTAATTTTTTAGTTCCTGGGTCATTTCGACCAAAGCAATGTGCAATAATTATTAGTTTTTGAATTATGAATAGTTCTTCTACATACAAGGTGTTACATTTAAGGCTATACTTATTCTTAGGAAGTTACTTTTTTCCAAAAAATTTCAAAGACTAGTAATGCATATTTTATGAGGAAATTAAATTAAAAAATTTTCTCTTACTTTTTAAAAACTGAATTCACTGTGGGCAAATTTTAAAATATTTCTTAAAAATTTAGGAAATTTCATGGCTTTTATATCGGTTTGGAGTTATTTTTTGTCTAATATTAATTAATATTGATTAATTTGGTCCGTTTTTCCAGATGGAAAATACATATTTCAATACTATTATTACACTTTCCTTTATAGACTAATATATATTTTACACTATAACTCATTTCAATTTTAATAACACCATTTTTTCGAGTATAAAATTTGTTTCTTAATTCGTCCTGAACTCCTAAATTTAGCACAAAACTGAAATATTTGCAAAATATTTTACTATTTTAAGATTAAATATATAAATATAAGTGTCATAATCTCGTGCACTTATTTCAATACTAGGACCAATGCTGCTTTTTTTTTTTTACCAGGAAAAGATTTCATTCGTCATTGGTGAACATCAGCTCTGAGATGATGCGCCAGGGGACAAATGGCCCTCCCCTTGCCTCCCCCCACAATTACGCTTTTGACAGCTTTATAGAAATAAATATGACCATCTTAGCGATATTCAGATTTACATTTCAATAAAATTAAGGCCTTTTTCTCAATTCCTACTACTAGTTCACTCTCTCCTTATAAAGGGTATTTTTTTAGAGGTATAGAACTTTAAATTGCAATAAAACAACGATGTATTATTCTATTGACATGAATTTTTTTTATTTGAAAGATAATCTTGTGGCATTACATTTTAAATATGATTTCTGGCATATGACTGCCACGGCTGGCTCGGATGTAGTCCAATCTGGACGTCCCATTTTCGATTACTTTTTCCAACATTTGTGGCCGTATATCGGCAATAACACGGCGAATGTTGTCTTCCAAATGGTCAAGCATTTGTGGCTTATCCGCATAGACCAATGACTTTACATAGCCCCACAGAAAATAGTCTAGCGGTGTTAAATCCCAAAATCTTGGAGGCCAATTCACAGGTCCAAAACGTGAAATTAGGCGGTCACCAAACGTGTCTTTCAATAAATCGATTGTGGTACGAGCTGTGCGACATGTTGCGCCGTCTTGTTGGAACCACAGCTCCTGAACATCATGATTGTTCAATTCAGGAATGAAAAAGTTAGTAATCATGGCTCTATACCGATCACCATTGACTGTAACGTTGTGGCCTTCATCGTTTTTGAAGAAGGATTCCACCAGCCCATAAAGCGCACCAAACAGTCAGTTTTTCTGGATGTAACGGTGTTTCGACATACACTTGTGGATTAGCTTCACTCCAAATGCGGCAGTTTTGTTTGTTGACGTAGCCATTCAACCAGAAGTGCGCTTCATCGCTAAACACAATTCGCTTATGAAAATCGGGAACAACGGCAATCTCGTTTTGGGCCCATTCGACGAATCTACGCTTTGCTTGATCATATTTAAAATGTAATGCCACAAGATTATCTTTCGAATAAAAAAATTCATGTCAATCGAATAATACATCGTTGTTTTATTGCAATTTAAAGTTCTTTACCTCTAAAAAAAACACCCTTTATATATATCTTGTTCAAATTTTCAATCGTTAAAAAATACTTTCTATTCATCCATTCAAGCTCAAATACGTTTTTCTAAACTTGTAATGGATGACATTTGATGTTAATACGGTTTTTCCAAATATTAATTCATTAATTAAATTTAGAAAATGCATAAATAGTAACAAACAAAAAAATAATAGTCCAAAACACTGGCGTAGCTAGTTCTGAGCAGGCCCCGTTTCAAAATTCCTTTGGGGCCCTTTTTTTAAAAGAAAGTTGTACTGTTAGTTGTACTGTAGCTACAAATGTTGGGACCCCTGTAGCTTGGGGGCCACGTATCATTGATGCGGCTGATAGGGCTGTAGCTACGCCCCTGGTTCAAGAGCATATGCAGAAAGGGATGCCTTTCGTTGTGTCCCTGTAGCGCAATGGATTGCGCGTTGGACTTCTATTCCAAAAGGTCGTGCGTTGTAATCTCTTCTGGGATGACCTAATTTCTGAGAATGTGGCTTCATTTTTTACTATACTATTTTATTAGAATATTTAAATCTAATTAATGAATAAATAGTAACAAACAAACACGAGAAATAGAGAGTCCAACACCCTATATAGAAAGGAAAATGGCAAGGAAATCCGCTTTCTATTTTGTCGCTTAATATTGTGATTCTGTCATATGTATATACATATTTCTGTTAATTGTCACTATTTAATAAAAAGTAACTAAAATAAAATTTTTCCTTGTTGACCTAAGTAGGAATTGATTAAATTTTTTTTTAATTATTTGTTACACTATCCCTTTTTCTTACAATCATGAAAATTACTCTTTAGATTTTATCTTATAACATGTGCTACGTATATTTCAGACACTATATATATATATATATATATATATAAATTTTTTAGCAAAAAAAACTCAAATTATAAAAAATTAATTAAAAATAACTTAAAATTTTATTTACTGTACTCATAGCTCTCTCCTCAGCAACTAAAAACTATATATTCTCTCTCTCTCATTTTGTTAATTTTTTTATATTATGTATTGATACGCACATCATGTGATCATTAAACAAGTCCGGATTTTATGATTCAGGAAATATATATGTTACTTACAAACAAAACAGACTTACTCTAATATCAAATTTAAGGAAATCTGTAAGTAAAAAAAAATTTTTTTCCTGAATTTTAAGAAAATGCAAAGATTTACAAACTCTCTCACCGCATTCTTAATAACTATAAAATTCCTTTCACTCTCATCTGTGACAAGCCGTTGACAGATTTGAGAATTCTTTTGGGATTCCTCACGTGGAACAAGTTTAGAGAAATCACACCAGTATATAAAAGCTCAAGCTTCTAGAACTATTTCAAAAGATGTAAAAGTAAATATGCATTCGAATTTTTTTTTTTCTTCACATAAAACAAACGATTAATTTTTTTTTGAAAAAATCTTATTTGGTTAAAATTTTTTAAGGTTATAAAATCGAATCAAAAAACACGTTTGTTCCTTCTTCTTCTTTTTTTTTTTTTTTTTTTTTTTTTTTGTAAAGTTATGTTTGTTATTAAGCTATATTAGTAAAAATATCATAAATTCTAAAGCATAGGATACATTTCCAAATTTTATTAGGTTAAATACGTAAAAAAAAATATTCTAAAGTCTAAAAAAAAAGAAGAAAAAAAAAGGAAAGGAAAGAAAAGAGGATTTGGAAGCTGTAAAATTGCATTCGATCTGATTAACTTAAATTTTTTTAAAAAAAACTTTTGCCCTTTTTTTTTATTTGAAACTAATAAATATGCCCCATGAACTTCTCTGTCTTTTCCTTCTGCTTGTATTTTAGAAGTTCTGTTGACGCATGTACTTTTGCAGCTTTATCTTCCGATACATATTCGGTTATCAAATCATATAAAATTCCGATGTTCGAAAAAATAAATGTACAAGAACTTGAAGTAAAAAAATAAAAGTAACAAACAAATTATACATTTGGTGCAGAATATGTTTATTGCTTTTTGAATGCTACGTAAATATAATATAGTTATATTTATAATTCTGAGGTTGTCCATGCATCCTAATTTTAAATTTGAAATGAAATGTCCGAGTATATTTTTATAGCTCTTCTCTTATATTCACATTTCTTGATTAAGACATCCCTAATGCAACCATAAACTTTATTATTTGAAAATTCAAATCTCTCAAGGGAGAATTTTAAGAAACTCGAAAAAAAACATGATTTTATCTCAAGGGTAAAAAAAAAAAGATAATACGGGCGCGCGCGCGCGAATGATAATAAACAAAGTATGTAAAGCCATTTTTTACTTCGTGATTCTGTTCAAATACCACACAATGATAGAATTTCTTTAAAAGATTAAATTAAGATGTCATTGATATTGCTGAGAAAGGGTGTAAAAAACTGTGACAATAGAGAGAGAGAGAGAGCAAATCTACTGTTTTCCCCAATCACATTATAAAATGTATTTAAATAAAATATTGCCAATTTGGTAAAAGATATCACCCCAACTACTAAATAAAGCAGTTCTTTAAAAAAATTAGAAGAAAAAAAGCTTTAGATATATATATTTAAGGATAAGTTATGGATTTTTCCATTTACTATAAGCTGGATATTTATAGCATTAGATTTATCTTTTGCGTGTGTAGGTTGTTTGATTTAGTCATGCGAAACTCGTCTATTTTTTCGTAACTGCAATTGAAATGATTGATTTTCCTACTATCCTATCCATTCTTTTAACAAAATACCGTTTTGTTAGGAGATAATGTTATCACTATTTGATACAATTTAAATTAGTATGTATTCAAGGCCTTGTCCTTCTAATTTGAAACTGGCGTAATAAACAGTAGAAAATTATATGAAAATAAAACTTTTGATGATTACATTTAATGTGTGTAAAAATGTGCCATCAATAATAATTAACTTTTCTCAATTTCAATATTTTTTCTTTTTTTTTCTTTTGTCGTACATAATTATTTGTTGAGGGAGGGAAAGGGGGCTTAAAAGGATGCTGATCACGTCATTTATTGCGAAATAAAAGTCTTATTAGGAATTTTTACAAGATCTTTTAATAAAAATTGAGCTTTATTGTATCTTGTATTTAAATGTCCACATGAGTTATATCAAGCAACGGCAACCTATGACACGACTACCACATGTGGCACAGAGAGCAATGGGCTCAATTCATGAGACATCATAATCATATGATTATGTCAACCCCGTGTTTTCAGTCAATCAGTTCAAAAGTTAATGCGTCTTCACAGCCACACGACAAAAGCATTGGTTTGTTTCCAGTTAATCAGTTCAATCGTTGTTGCCTACTTTTGCCCTTTGCATAAACGCTTTCTCTTAAAAAGTACATATTTGTCAACAATAATAACGTAAATAATATACAAAATGCATTTTATTTAAAAATAAAGAGATATTTGCCAAGTTTTGTTTTATGTTACAAATGTTCAATGTCTGAGCCAGTACTGATTTCAGCTCATTTCGGGCCCTGGGTGCAGAAGATCAACAGACCCCCTTGGCACTGAAGCAGTGATACTCAACCTGTGGTTCACCGACCTTTTCTGATGGGCCCAGTCATGTCGAATTTCATTAAGAAATTCAGTTATTGGAAAAGAATTTGCTAAACATTTAGCAGGAAATTATATCAATCAAGCAATCAAATCTATCAATTTTGCTGCCAATTTGTCTTTTTTGATAGTAGAATGTAAGCAAGAGAGAGGTTTGGTGATAGTTGAAAGGAAATCGAAACTTACCCCAAAACTCAGTAAAAAAATGCATAAAAGTAAATATTTTTTGCATGTGTTCAATAGAAAGGTTAATGTTGTATTAAAATAAAAACCAAAAATGAATTTTAATATTTTAATCAATTTTGTTCTGCGCAATGTTGCTTTGATCTTATAATGCGTTTTTCTCACTATCTTCATGTTGCGACCCACGAGAAATACCTGTCATGTGTATGTGGCCCGGCCAGAAGAAAGGTTGAGAACCCCTGCACTGGAGGATCGAAATTTATAACCAGAAAATGTGATTAAGTTCAACCTATCCATGCCCTTATGGGCCCCTGGGCACCCACCCCAAGCACCCAATGGATAAACCGGCATTGGTCTGACTCTTTTGTTATAAGGCAAACCTGCAATCTGTAATCCAGTTCGTTTCATACATTTTGTAGCATCACTCTATTAATGATTGGTAATGCCGCACAAATGCTTACTTGTCGTCCTTTGTTATTTGTTATGTCAATTGCAAATGATCCGGCTTGAAATTTTATTTCTTTCATTAAGTTTTCCATACTGTTTTCTGGAGCATTTCAAATTTACAAGCGGCAACTCTCGTAGACTTCCGCGGACTTCGAACAAAACTCGGTTTCACCTTCTCCACTGCTTCTTCTGAGACACTTGGCCGACCGCTGATTTTCTTTTTACAGAAGCAACCTGTTTTCCCAAGCTGTTGATACCATCGTAGAATGCTCTTGTTGGTTGGGGCTTCTTTTCCGTAGTGATTTCTAAATACACGTTTCACCGAAATAACTGAAAAAACCCATCCATACTCTAATATTATAATACAGTGTTTCTCAAACTGTGGGGCACGCCCCACTGGGGGGAGGGTGCGATAACCTTACGAGGGGGCGCGAGCATATTGAACAGACATAATAAAAAATGCACTTTTACTCCGATATAATTTATAAGCGTGCGATATTAAGTCATCAAATATGAAAAATTCTTCAATACCTAATTAGCTATCTTTGATCTTATAACCAAATAAAAAAACTTTTATTTGATTTGCTATAATCCCACTATGAGAGATTTTTTTTATTACACTTTCTTTTTAAACCTAAAATACTACTCTTTCAGAGAAAAAACCACAAATCCCAGACCCAGAATCAAAAAAATTTAGGAACATAAAAAATTCATCACTGTGATTATTTATGAAATGCTACACATTATAGCAGTAATCTGTTTGACCTTATAAGTTATTGGTACAGTTAGTTATGACCCCTATCTTATGTGTTTGTTTCTCATTTAGGGAAGTTGTAAATAATGTATTTCTCTGTTGCGCTTTTTTCCATGCAAAAGAGTTTTATGATATTTGGAAAACCACAGAGAGCGCTTTGAAGGATTACTTGGCCAAGACTTATTTTTATGAGTATTCTCAAACATATAAAGCATAATGAAAAACGTTTTACACAATTTTTTAGCAGTAACAATCATATTATCACAATGAATACACTTTTAACCTGGAAGTGGTCACGCGGGACACACAGATCATGAAATCGTTAATTCTGGCAAAACTGTTTATTTGTTACCAAAGAAAAATTGAACAGTCCTTGAAAGTAGGCAAGTTTACTTTCTCTTAATTAAATTACTCACTGGAATCACGATTTGAATCAGGTATAGTAAAATAATTATAAAAAAAAAGATTAGGGTGACTCACTCATCCCACGTGACCATTAACGCTAGCATCGAGTGTGTGTCTGCCCCGGG